ATGCAAGGTTCTAGAAAACACTTGTTCTCTCATTGTAGATAGTGGGTCTACTTCCAATTGTTGTAGTACTAGATTGGTTGATAATCTAGCCTTAACTACAAAACCTCATCCTAAACCTTATAAAATGCAATGGATCAATGAGGAAAGAGGTATTGTAGTTAGCCAACAAGCAAGCATAGCAATCTCCATTGGCAAATATAAAGAAGAAGTTTTGTGTGACATAGTGCCATTGGAGGCTAGTCATGTCTTGCTTGGGAGGCCATGGCAATTTGACAAGAAAACAATCCATGATGGCCTCACAAATAAAATAAGTTTCCAACACTTAAGTAAGAAATTTGTGTGGTTTCCTCTATCACCCTCTCAAGTGAATGAGGACCAACTCAAATTGAAAGCCAAGAAAGACAAAAAGGAGAAAAGCAAAAAGAAAAAGAAAAAGAAAAGAAAAGAAAAGAGTTTTTCCTTTGGAAAGAAGGAAGGGCTAGGTTCAAGAGAACCTTAACCCTTGTGCCATCCTCATTCTTTTGGTGCCAAAGAAAGATGGCAATGGAGGATGTGCACCGATTTTATAGAAAGTCATCAATAAATAAAATATAGGCACCCAATCCCTAAGCTAGATGATTTGATGGATGTCTTGCATGGGGCCATTCAATTTTTCAAAATTTGCTTATATGCATGGTTGGTGATGCCTTTTTGGGCCTCACCAATACCCCTAGCACTCTCATTCATCTAATAAATCATGTACTTAAGGATTGACTAGGAAAATTTTAGTAGTTTATTTCCCTAATTGTGGTTTCACATCTTTCAAGGGACCAATGACATGGATGTGCTTAAAGATTTGACGTCAAATCCTTCTCAAGAAGGAGGGGATGATGGAGGACCATCCTTGAAGCATCATATAGGTCCTATCACAAGGTCCATGGCTAGGAGAGTAGAGGAAGATGAATAACACACCACACCAAAGGCCATGATCATCATGTGTGTGGAATTTGAGCCCTCTCCTTAATTTATTACTTTCTTTTCCCATTTTGCCCTTGTATTTTGGGGTACATTAGATATTAGGATTTTATTTTGTATTGTTATTTAGCCTTTGTATTACGGGGCAAAATTAGTCTTAGGATTTATTTTAGGACTTAAGCCTTATTTTTAAGGTCAAAAGTCCATTTCTTCCTTTTTTTAGACCTAAGGGTACTTTAGTCTTTTAGGAGGGATGAGAGCCATTTCATTTGGGATGCATTTAGGGTTCATTTAGGGTGCATTTGGACTCCAAAATTTCGGCCAAATGCTCCCAAGAAACCCTAGATGCCTTTCTCTCCCTATAAGTACTCTAGGTAACCCACCTTGTAGCCACTTTGGAAATTAATG